GCAGTCATACTTTTCTGCAAAATAAGTGCACTCTACAGGAATACAGATTTTGACTTTTTTTTCAGATCCAAATTGCTTGTCCATTTTATCAATGTGATGGCTCTTACTACATCAAACTAATATCCCAGAAAATGTTAACTGAGTCCAAAGTTGTGACTTCAAGGATACAAAATATGATTGTATTATGTTTTTATTTATTTATTTTTTCTTGGAAAAAAAAATTCTGCCTCCTACCATCCTCCCATTTCCCTCCCCTTCCTCCCACTCCACTTCCCCTCTCCCCACTCCTTTCCCCCTCCCTCTCTTGACTGATTAGCAGTCAGGTGGAAAGTCCAAAGTCCTCCCCCCTCCATCTAGATCTAGGAAGGTGAGCATCCAAACTGGCTAGGCTCCCACAATGTGTTTTAAAATGCAGGTATTGCTATGCATGGTTGTATATAATTCTAGCACTTGGGAGGCTGAGGCAGGAAAGTGTAAGTTCATGACTGGCCTGGACATCATATAGGGAGGCTCTGTGTTTGTATTCAGGTATCTACTGGCCTACCCTTGGGGTTCTGACAGGAGCCACTGAGAGCACCTCCTATACATTTTCACTATGTTCCCTTTAAAAAGGTAGACCTTGCCAGATGGAGGAAGGACATTGGTTAATTATAATAAAGAAACTGCCTTGCCCTTTTTTGGTTAGAACATAGGTGGGTGGAGTAAACAGAAGAGAATGCTGGGAGAAAGAAGCTTAGTCGAGGAGTCGCCATGGTTCTCCCACTCCAGACAGACGCAGGTTAAGATCCTCCCTGGTAAGCCACCTCGTGGGCTACACAGAATATTAGAAATGGGTTAGATTAATATGTAAGGGCTAGCCAATAAGAGGCTGAAACTAGCTGGGCCAGGCAGTGTTTAAAAGAATACAGTTTCCGTGTAATTATTTCGGGCATAAGCTAGCCATGCGGGCGGCCGGGTGCTGGGGGCGCAGCCACGCTGCTCCTAATTCTACACTTGCCCACCTTCCATCTCTCTCTCCCTCCCCCACTCTCTCTCTCTTCTGCCACTCTTGTCCCCAGGAACTGATCTCTGCCCCCCCCCCGTTTCTACCCCCTTCTCTGTACCCTTTTTCTGCCCCTTCTCTCTCTAAAATAAAATTCCCATATGATCCCTGTTGTATGGTGTGACTCCATTCCTGCTGGTTTTAAATAAATTACAACACCCTGTTTTATTTTTAAAAAATGGATATAAGCCACATATAGCAATAGAGTGAAATAAACATATCTTTTGTGTTTTAACACAAGTCTGGTAAATGTCTATACTCTTGAAATTCACATTCCATTGATAAAAGAATAAGTTGTCTTCAGAAAGTTTACTAAGGCCTTCACTGTCAATCCCCGTTTTCTACCAGCACAAGGTTATGCTTTCCACAAAGATTACTCACCTGTTCTAGAATTTCACATGCATGGAATCATATTCTCTCTGCCTAGCTTCATTCACTCTGCAAATGACAGATTCATCTTTGTAGTTTATTTCTTTGTATTCCTAAGTAGTATTCCCCAGTATGGATGAACCAGAATTTATCTATTCATCCGTTGACAGCTGTTTGGTTTAGCTCAAGTTTCATGCCATTTTGAATTCAGCAATAGGGCTGGTGAGGTGGCTCAGTGGGTACAAGTGCTTGGCACCGAGCCTAAGAACCTGAGTCCAATCAAGGAGTCAACAATAGCAGGAGAGGCCTGGAGGTGGTGGCACAAGCCTTTAATCCCAGCACTCGGAAGGCAGAGGCAGGCAGATCTCCAAGGCCAGCCTGGTCTTTAGAGCGAGTTCCAGGATTGGCTCCATACCTACTGAGAAACCTTGTCTGGAAAAACTAAAAAGAAAAAGAAAGAGGAGAAAACCAACATCTACAAATTAACCTCTGCTCCCCTCCCCAGGAACATGCACAAAAAGAAAAAAAAAATTTAAATGGAATTAAGCATCTCAGAATACTCATGTATAAATCTTCGTGAATGGGGTATATGCTTTCATTATGAATGCATGCCTATATTACTGGTTGATGGGGAAGTGTACATTTAAGAATGTCAGCTGTAGTGAGCGATCTGACTGTTGAAAATGCTTGCAAGTGAAGGAGTTAAGAATGAGCCGCATTCGGGAGGCAGAGGCAGGCGGATCACTGTGAGTTCGAGACCAGCCTGGTCTACAAGAGCTAGTTCCAGGACAGTCTCCAAAACCACAGAGAAACCCTGTCTCCAAAAACCAAAAAAAAAAAAAAAAGAGCTGCATTAACATTCACTGTTTGGAATTAGACACGAAGATGATTCTGATCTCTCTGTTTCTTGAAGGTAGAAGCAAAGCCACCTTCTTATTACCGTGAATGGGGAGTTGAACCTAACGGAGTTGTGCAAACCTTACCAAAATTACTTCCAACTGCCAATCTCACCATGTAAATTTTTTTTCTATTCATAACTTACTATTCTCTGTCTAATTCAATGTATAATTGTTGAACTCTTGGATCCTTATTGTCTGGGTCTTTAGTGCCTTATTAGGGCAGCATTGCCATGTAAAACATGTTTTTAATAAGCTTTTATTTGTTTTATGGCAAATTAATTCTCAGCTCCAGCTGAAAACATTAAGAAGACAGAGGCAAACATTGCGTTTTAGCATTTAAAGTTTGGGCTGGAGAGATGGCTCAGAAGTTGAAAACACTGACTGCTCTTCCAGAGGATTCAGGTTCAGTTCCTAGCACCCATATGGAAGTTCACAACTGTCTATAACTCCAGTTCCAGGGAACCAACACCCTAACACAGATGTACATCTTGGCAAAGCACCAAGGCATATAAAAAAATTCAAAATTTTGGCCCAGTGGTAGTGGCACAGGCCTTTAATCCCAGCACTCCAGAAGCAAAGGCAGGCAGATCTCTGTGAGTTCAAGGCCAGCCTCATCTACAAGACTTGCTCCAGGACAGGCTTCAAAGCTAGAGAGAAATCCAAAGCATTTAAAGGTGGGTAAATCTGTTCAATTTCAACCATTCTATGTAGGTGTACAATGATATCTCAATGTGTTAGGTACTTATTGGCCCTTCCTGTGTTTTCCTTTGCGACGTCTAGTAAAATTTTCTTCAATTTAAAAAATTGGGGGCTGGAGAGATGGCTCAGTGATTAGCAAGCCGCTCTCTTCCAGAAGACTTGAGTTCAATTCCTAACACCCACACAGCAGCTAACAACTGTAACTCCTAGATCTGACACCCTCACACACACATACAGACAGACAAAACACCAATGCACATAAAAATAAATTATAAAACAATTAAAAATTGTTTTTTTTTTCAAATTATTGAATTGCAGTTCTTTAAATATTCTGAATATACTCTTTTCGGGTATATGTATTAAAATTAGTTTTCCCAGTCTGTAGTTAATTTGAACTTATTAATAATGTCTTCTCCTAAGCAAGAGTTTTTCACCTTGAGGAATTTCAATTTATCATTTAAGAAAGTAGGTGGTTTTAATTTCACTGTTGTATCAGAGATACCAAAAGATATCATCCTATAATTGAATTCTTTGATACTGCAGCTTTTGCTGTTTGACAGTACCTCCCTCTCCCCCAGGCCTCCTCTGATTTCCATTGGTGAATCCTCTGAATTCCTCCTACAGCTTGACACACACACACACATATACCATATATATATATTTGACAGCACCTCCTTCTTCCCCCAGGCCTCCTCTGATTTCCATTGGTGAATCCTCTGAATTCCTCCTACAGCTTGACACACACACACACATATACCATATATATATATTTGACAGCACCTCCTTCTTCCCCCAGGCCTCCTCTGATTTCCTGACCATAGGTGAATCCTTTGAATTCCGCCTACAGCTCCTACAGCTTTGCCAAGTGCCCTATGCCCTCTGGGTAGGCTATAAAGCTGAGTAGCATTTTAAAGCTCAATTTCAATACCAGCTTCTATAGAAGTTAAAACAGTGCAAGGCCATAAACTCAAACAATGTCTCAAAGCTGAACTAAGCAAGCTTAAATCGCCATTAAATCGCCCTTGAAACTACAAATTGCTGGCTCCACTTCACTCCTAAAAAGTGGTTCTACACTGTTGATGCTGTTAGAGGCAGGTTTAGAAAGTACTGAGAAGGGGGCTGGAGAGATGGCTCAGTGGTTAAGAGCATTGCCTGCTCTTCCAAAGAACCCGAGTTCGATTTCCAGCAACCACATGGTGGCTCACAACCATCTGTAATGAGGTCTGGTGTCCTCTTCTAGCCTGCAGGCATATATGTAAACAGAATTGTATCCATAATAAATATTTAAAAAAATTCAGTCACTTAATATTCAGAATTTAAAAAAAAAAAGAAAGTACTGAGAAGCGGTATTCAATGCTTGGCTAAATATAAACAGAAACAGTCAATGGAAACGATCACATTCTACATTTGTGTGTTGCTACCGCTACGGTTTTTAAATTGCACTTTGAAATCTTTAAAAAAAAAAAAAAAAGACATAGAATGGGGCGGGAGAGATGGCTCAGTGGTTAAAAGCATTTATTTTACTCTCAAAGCGTCGGAGTTCGATTCCCAGCACCCACAAAATGGCTCACAACCATCCATAACCCCAGTTCCAGGGGATCCAACAGGCACACATGGTGCTCATACGTGCATGCGAACAAAATATTCATACACACAAAATAAACTTTTTGGAAAGCACCGAGGAATTTTACTAAAGGTTCTGTTAAGTGTGAAACGTGTGAAATATTTCAAAACAGGAATCAATTGCATTGTACTTCCCCCCAACTTGGCTCATTCTCGCTACCGCTACCGGAGACATCAAGAAGTTCTACCGGGAGAATTGCACGTCTTTTTTTTTTTTTTTTATTTTTATTTGTTTGTTTTGTTCAATAGTTCTGTCATGGATTTTGGTAACGGAGTCTCTCTTGACTTACAATTAAACATGAAACTTCTCATTGGGTAGTTTCAAAACGAACAGGAGGAATCAGCTGCCAGTTTACTGCACTGTGGAAAACTGCACGAGATTCCAGGATTGGAATGGAAATGCTAATTTAAAAGGTCAAGCGGAGCTGCGCCTCACGTTTTTGGCGTCCGTGTGCTCGGTGCGGGCGGAGCAAACAAAGACCCAGCAGAGAAGCCAGACGCCGATATTCCTCCCGCTGCTGTTTCCCCAAAATAGTTGTGGAATCATGCCTGAAATGCCGGAGGACATGGAACAGGTAAGAGCTAGCAATTCGAGATACAGTCTCCATTCCGCGTTGACTTAAAAGCGATTCAGAACGGCTGGTAAGAGCCAAATGGGTGTAAAGGAAATATTTGCCGGTGCCATTTATTTCCTTAAGAAACAGAAGCTTGAGACACAGAACACACTCTCTTGGGTTTCTGACCCGAAAAATCAAATTGTGTTTGACAGAAATAAAATGTGAAGCAGAACGAGTTTCATTCTCCACGTTAAGTGCAATGGTGGCGAAGGTTCTGGATAGTATAAGATTTAATCTGTGGTGCGTGCCCGGCTTTTGTCTTGTAGGGCTTGAATCTGCTAATGGGACTTTCAGTTCCAGTTTGCACTCTTTAAGACGTGATCCCTGTCGGAAGTCGGGCATTGACTGTACACATAGAACCTTTTTTTTATTAAGCAAAATGACTAAAAATTGCATTTAAGTATGTGCCCCTAAAGATCTATGCCCAACTTTTGCCTGACAGGTGTCAAACCGTATTCTTAAATGTAGGCAAACAAATATTTCCTTACTCGAAGGTTGCACAGGGAATCAAACTGCAAATTGCAGGAATCCTTAAATGTTCCTTTTGAGTACAATTTATAATCCCGTCTAGGAAGCGATTCCTTCACACATTTCAACTAGAGACTTGAAACATTCTCACTTTTAAGAAGGATGTGGGATCTTGGATCTGTCCTTTTCCTCAGACTTTTTCTTTCTAATTATTCTTGTAATTTAGTGTTAGGGAGCCCTTTTAGTAATCTTTAAGGCCTGGATTAAAAACAAATAAATGAAAAAGTGACAGGCCTCGGGCTGCTTCTCCCCTCTCCCCCAAAGAATTACGTGAAAGGGGAATACGGTTTTTTAGTGTATAGGGGAGGAAGGAAAAATCACCTGGCTCTGACGAAAACTTTTTCTAAACGGCAGCTTGATCGTTAGTTTAAAAATAAACCAGACGGATTGTGACAATAAGGCGTTTGGGGGAAATCCAGGCAATGGTCACGTTTAGGGGCGAGTTTTGAAATCCCTTATGTGGGTGTCTGGATGAGAGCAGAAGGCTGGGTCGAAGCAGGCGAATCCTTTCCTGGGTGCGAGCTTTTATTTACAGTGGAGGTTTCAAAGGCTTGGCTGGCGCTGTACTTCGGAGTTTTTAACCCGCAGGTAATTCAGTTGAGTGCTGAGTCAGACACTAGGGGATGTTGTTTCTGATTAACTTTTAAACAGCCACACAGGTTTGGAAGAATGCCCGGCACTGCGCGCGCCCTTCCTTGGCGCCATCGTTTTTTGCAGCTCCTCCAAAGCTTGGCTCGAGCAGCCCCGCAGTGTCCCCTAAAGTGACTTCCTCCACTTAGGGCAGCCAGAACACCTGTAAAATCTACTTCAAAGTGGACCGGGCTTGTTATCGCAATTGTTTCTCGTTTTGTAATTTTTAAATTACCCAAATGATATTCTCTCCCACACCTTTTTTTTTAATTAGCTAAAAATAATTACACATTTAAAAAACTTCCCAACATTTTTTTAACATTCCAGAAAAACTTAGTTTCCAGAGATGTTAATGACTCAGAAGACAGCACCTATTTTTATTCTTTCTCCTTGCCTTGAACAAACAAACAACCAATCACAACTTGCATAGATTGATCCACTCCTGGGATCCCAGCTCTTGGGAGGTGAAGCTGGAGGGTCAGAAGTTCAAGATCATTCCCTGATGGCCTTGGCTTGAAACTGCCTGAAACCAACCCAAATCAGCCTTAGCGTTGTGTTCCTGGGACCACTCTTCGTTTTTTTTTTTTTTGCCTCTCCTAAGGTTGTAGTCTACTTTGTGTAATACACGCTCAGTTGACTCTTAGGCATTTCGCAGTCTGCAAACATAGAACTCTAGGCCACTCGATTCTTTATTCCCCTTCACTAGAAAGGAAGAAGTAGACAGATTTAAAAACAACAACAACAACAACAAAATCACTCACTCGCTTAAACCCAAGAAAGCCTGCAGTCACTGCTTGGCGTTGCTCTATCTCTTTAAGAACTGGCACGTGGGCTAGAGCGTCCCTTGAGGTCCCGCCCCGTGATGAATGCGTGGCGGAAGGTGGCCAATCAACGGCCGCGGCCATGGCGGCGGAAGCCGGAAGCGGCGGCCCGGGTCGGCCAGGGCCTAGGGGGAGGAGGGCCAAGGGCGCGGGCGCTGTGGCCCCCGGCTGTGCTGCGCTGGAGGTGGCTGCGGTCGCGACGGCGACGGCGCTAAAGCGGCTGGCATGGTGGGCCGGGAGAAAGAGCTCTCTATCCACTTCGTTCCCGGCAGCTGCCGGCTGGTGGAGGTGAGGTGCGGGGCGGGGAGCCCTGGGTGGCGCCTCTGAGTTTGTTTACCTCGCTCGCTGCAGGCTTCCCCTGAGCCGCTGCAGCCAGGAAGTTGGGGCGGGGTGGGGGCCTCCCGTCACCCCCGAGGGCTTGTTTCCATTTGGGTTCTGTGGACGTCACTTTTGTTTTGTATTCCTGGATCTTTAAGGAGATGATGGGAGGGTGGCTTGTTATAAATGAAGGCGTTGGGGATGTCAGCTCCAGTGACTTCATAGTTCACAGGGCACGTTACATCGGGCACTTTCACGGATGTCAGTATTCCCCAGTATGCGGTGCTGTTAACGCTCGGTCTCACAGTGAGAACACAATCTTAGTCTCGAATTGATTCACTAAGGTTTGAACAGGTATTCCAATACAGGTTTGTTTGGCCCTTGGCCACCTTGGGTTTCAAGTCGTGCACGGTGTAAGACTGCTGAGATTTGGGAGACCAAGTGTCTGGTAAACTTCGCCTGCCTCTTCCCAAATCCGAGTCGTTTTGTCTTGAGCCCCTTAGCAATTACTGACCTGCACAACTGATGAGACTTAATTCCCAAGCCAGTATGTCTTTCAGGTATAAGAAAGTATAGGAGATGACCAGTTTTGTTCATGCCCCCAAATCTGTGTCTGTCTGTTGAAATGGAGTCTTTGCTGTCTAGTTTGTCTGGTTTTTGTTTTTCGAAACAGGGTGTCCTAGTGTGTCTTTGGCTGTGTTGGTATTAGCTCTTAACGCACAGAGACCTGCCTGCCTCTACCAGCCGAGTGCTGGGATTAAAAGCACGGGCCGCCACGCCCTGCACCGCTGACTAGTTTTACCTCCACTTAATACAAGCTGGAGAGGAAGGGGCCTCAGAAAAAAATGCCTCCTTAAGATTAGGCAGCAGGCAAACCTGTGGGCCATTTTCTTAGTTACTGTTTGATGTGAAAGGGACCAGCCCATTGAGGGTGTTAGCATCAGTAGGCGGATGTTCTAGAAAGTTGGTTGAGCAGGCAAGTCCGTTAGCTGCACTTCTACATAGCCGGCCTCAGGTTCCTGCCCTGTTGACTTCCTGCCCTGATTTCCTCTAATGATGAACAGTGATGCGAAAGTGGAAGCCAAATAAACTCTTTTTTTCTCAGATTTTGGTCCTGTTTTATCACAGCGTAGTAACCAACCCTAACTAGAACAGGTTCTCTCTGAATAACTCTTGCTGTCCTTGATCTCAACAGAGACTTCCTTGTCTCTACACCCCAGAGTGCCAGGATTAAAGGCAGGGCGCACCGCGTCCAGCTGCAAGATTTTTATATTTGGGTGATGTACATTCGGCATTGTCTCCAAGTGACTGGGCTTTAGCTAGTTCAAGTTCATTTGCAGTTTCAGGCTGTGACTGTTTCTGCATGCATGCATGTATGTACACATGTAAAGTTAATGTGTTAAAATTACAAAGTAGAGAGTGGTAAGCTGGATGTAACTAACTTGAATGCCTATAAACTCAGCACTTTAGCGGTGATGGGTAGATATGATCGCTTTTCAGGGTGGTGGGGTATACAGGTAACTTTTCATGTTCTCGTTTGTTTCTTGAAACAGGATCATATACTGTATTCATGAGTGGCCTCAAACCCACAGCGATCTGTCTGCCTCTGCCTCCACCTTGTTTTTCATTAAACAAAAGAAGGGTAGAGTCATTGGGCATGGTGGCTAGCACTTCAAGCCCTGTGAAAAGCTAAAGCTGGGGGATTTCAGGCAAGCCAAGGCTAAGTAGTGAGACCCTGTCTCAGAAAAACCAGCAATAAAAAGGTACAGACCTCTGCGGTTTGCAGGCACTTGTTGCTCTCAGCTAGTGCTATTGAAATTTACTCTGGGAACTCCGAGGATGGTAATTGTGAAAGAGGCCTTATCAGTTCCTGTTAAGAATGCTGCCTCTGGGTACAATGGGGAGACAGGCAGTTGGGCTATTCCCCTCTGGATTCCTTTCCTACTCAAGCAGCCTGGAGCTCTTTTCTTATATCTCAAGGATGTTTGGGGCTGTGAGGTGAGTGTGAGTGAGTGTGGGGCTTTCTAGTTTTCTGTCATTTTTTTTTCTCCTTTGGAGACTGGTCTATATGCCGGGGCTGATCTTGAATTCAGGATCCTCCTGTCTGGGATGACTAGTGCTAGTTCTGGTATTAAAGGAGCGCACTACACATGTGGACATCCCTGTTTATTTTCTTTAAAGAAAAATATTGTGTGTGTGTGCTTTGTGTTTGGAGATGGGCATAATATGTGTCGTGTCCATTACGCACTGAGGCCGAAAGAGGATGCCATGCCCCAGAAACTAGAGTTAGAGAGGTTGTTAGCTACCATGTGAAGTCAAACCAGGGTCTCCAGAAGAGCAACCAGCGCTCTTCACCTCTTAGCCCCTCTCCAGCCCCTTATGTTTTCCTTTATGGTGTTTCCCCGGGCATCTACATGGTATTTATTCCATGTACAGTGTTTTCCGAATCTGTACCAGAGTTGGCATGTTTTGACCCCTTTCAGCATTGTGTGTGCATGTGTACACAAGCATGGGTTTGGGGTCATGCTGTATGGTCCTGTAGACCAGGCTCTTCTCAGTTGACTGATAGCCTCCTGCTTCTGTCCCCGAGTGCTGGGATTAGAGGCCATCCCCACACCTGTTTTATAGTAAAGGCTTTGTAGAGTTATTTTCTTGCCAAAGATCAAAGAAAACATTTTGCTGGCTTGAGTCTTTGTTTTCGTAAATTGCCTGGCTTAGAGCCAAGGGGTTGTCAGGCTGCCACATGAAATCTCTTTAATTAAAAAAAAAAATTTGAAATTGGTTGAATTAAAATCCTTAATTTTTTTGGTATACTGCCCCCCCCCCCCAACCCCATCATCCCCTTTTGGTTTCAGCTTTTGTGCGTGTTAGAAACACCTGATTTTAGTGTCACTAAGTAAAGTATGTATGTTTACTAAACCCTTTACCTCACATGAAGTTAGGGCTCGAAATGTCTGGCTATTTCTAATAGCCAAAGCTTTTTTGCTAGCTGAGAATTAGGGGACTTTAAAAGAAATAGGGCCTCATGATGAACTTTAATGAAAGTTTCAACTGTGGAACGCATACTGGACTTCAGGTGTGTGACACCATGCCAGCTGAAAACACTATTTTTACAAAAGGGTAAGTTGGCTTTACTTGAGAATTCGGAAGGAAAGTGTTTCTTGATTTTTTTTTTTTTTGGAACTTTGCCTTGAATATACAGAATTTAAATTATTCCTTCAGCTTTTAAACATTTCTGTGAACATGAATATTTTTCTCAATAGCAACACAAATCAGTTCAAAAATTTCCTTACTATCTGTAACTATTAGTCATAAGTACTCTGTGTAAGTAAATTTAGTGCTGACTGAGGGATATATATTAGTTTGTTCAGATTTAAAATATATTGTTTTAAAGATCAGATTAGTTTTAGTCTAAATAAACTGCTTTGAAATGTTGACAGATTTTCAAACGTATAAAAATGTGATGTGCCCTCTGAGGCTTGCGCGTTTTCATAATATCTTTGAAGATGGGAAATTCTTGATGACTCATCAAGGTGATATACCATTACTTCATCCATCATAAAAGCAAAATAACTTCCATTATTAACATGAAATCTAAATCAAGTGGGGAAGTTACTTGTGATTTATCTTAGGTTCTTTTCCTTCATTATTAATACTTGGTTCTATTATTTTTTTCTTTTTTACTAGTCTGGAAGATTTTAGTTTTTATTAACTTATTTATTAAAAATTTTGTGTGTATGAGTGTTTCTCCTGTGTGTTTGGGTACACCGCATGCATGCCTGGTGCCCACAGAAGCAAGAAGAGGGCATCAGATCCTCTGAACTAGTAGTTAACGTTAAGACAGAGTTTTTAGCTGCCTCTGGGTTCTGGGAATCAAGAAGAAAATGCAGTGTTCTTAACCATGGAGCCATCTTTCCTGCACCTTATTTTTTATGTTAGAGTCTTTTGTGTGTGAATGCAGTTGCTCTCAGAGGCCAGAGATCTGGAGCTTGAGTTATAGGTGGTTGTAAGTCACTCAGTGTCTGTCTTCTGCAAAAGCAATGTGTGTTCTGACCACTGAGCCACCTCTCTAGTCTCAATGAGATTGATTATTAAGACTTATCAAGTAAGTGGGGGCTGGAAAGATGGTTCTATGGTTAAGAGTACTTTGTTGATTTGCAATGTACCCAGGCTCAGTTCCCAGCACCTACCTGTAAGTCCACTGCCTGAACTCCAGTTCCAGGAGATTTTACACCCTCTTCTGATCTCCCCCAGCAACGCAGGTGGTGCTCATGCATGCAGGCAAAACACTCATACACATAAAATAATTAAAAAATAAACAAGTTGTACAGTTGTTGGTGCAGTTTGATTAATCTAGCTTTAAAACTGAGTTTTTAGGTATGTGATATTAATAAGAAAAATACTTAGATTTCAGGTATTTGGCACACAATGCTGGCAGTCCATTTCTTTAGGAGAATTGTTTTCAAACTGACTTTCCTCCTTTTACACTTCTAGGAGGAAGTAAACATCCCTACCCGGCGGGTTCTAGTTACAGGCGCCACAGGGCTTCTTGGCAGAGCAGTTTACAAAGAATTTCAACAAAGTAACTGGCACACTGTTGGCTGTGGCTTTCGAAGAGCAAGACCAAAATTTGAACAGGTGAACCTGTTGGATTCTGAAGCTGTTCATCACCTCATTCATGATTTTCAGGTATGGGATTTTATGTTTGAAGTTGTATGTGCATTCTATTCAGAGTTCTCTGGAGTGTACAGAAAGTGCTTGCTGGCTGGAAGCTGTGCTTGAAACTGTAACCTGCTGAGCAGCAACAGTGCAGAGCGTACTTTGCTGGGGAGGGGGGTGCTTTACCTGCAGTGGTGCAGGTTGTGGGGCCAGGGTCCCCAGCATGCTGGGCAGGTACTCTACCCCAGAGCTAGATCCTCCTCCCTGTCTTTTACACAGTGCACAGCTTGTATTTATGTAGTATTTTCCTAATAATACTCACTGTACAAATAAGTGTTATCTGGAACCTGGAAAAAATTATTCTTTCTGCTTTAGAGCCAAGAGAGTACAGTCAGGAATTTGGAGAACCCGTTTGCCATGCTCCAAAAAAAGTTAGAGGGAAATGGAGATACTGTTTGCCTTGTCATCAAATTTTAGCTTTGGTTCTTTCTAAAGGTGTGAGCCCTAGAGCATGGGTACTTGAAACCTGATTTTAGGCTGTATGCCCAGACTGTAATATAGTAAATCCTTGATGGGCCCTGGATGCTACATGTAAAACATCCCAGATTCTGACATTTAAGTTTAAAAACAATTATACCTTCTTGAAATTAGGTATATGGGAGTTCATTCTCTGCCTCTTTCTCCTTTTAAAATTTATTTTTATATATTTTCTGTGTGTGGGTATAGGCGGAGTTTTTCTGTGTCCTAGCAATTGCTCCCAAATAACCACGCGGAGACTTATTAATTATAAATGCTTGGCCAGTAGCTCAGGCTTATAACTAACTCTTACATTTTAAAATAACCCATATTTTTTTATTTTATTATTATTTTTTTTTTTGGTTTTGTTTTTTGAGAAAGGGTTTCTCTGTGGCTTTGGAGCCTGTCCTGGAACTAGCTCTGTAGACCAGGCTGGTCTCGAACTCACAGAGATCCGCCTGCCTCTGCCTCCTGAGTGCTGGGATTAAAGGCGTGTGCCACCATCGCCCAGCTTTAAATTTATTTATTTATTATGTATACAACATTCTGCTTCCATGTGTGCCCACACACCAGAAGAGGGCACCAGATCTCATTATAGATGTTAGCCACCATGTGATTGCTGGGAATTGAACTCAGGACCTCTGGAAGATCAATCAGTGCTCTTAACCTCTGAGCCATCTCTGCAGCCCCCCCCCCATATTTCTTATCTACACTCTGCCATGTGACCTGGTACCTTTTCTCAGTACAGCAGGTTCATCTCCTCAAGATTCTGAGACTCCTCCCCTTCTTCATGCTCTCCATTTGTCTGCAGGTCCGGCCTAACCTCTACCTGTCCAACTGTTGACCAGTCAGCTCCTTTTCTAATCCCATCACAGTGGCATATATTCACACAGTGTAAAGGAATGTTCCACTTATGGGTGTTTTGCCTGCATGTGTATATTTGTGCAACATGTGTGTGCAGTGCCTGCAGAGGCCAGAAAAGGAAGTCTGTCTGGTTGAAACTGGAGTTACAAATGGTTGTTAGTTGTCGTGTGTCTTCCACAGCACATTGACTGTTGGCACAGTCTTAGTTATTGCTCTGTTCTTCTTGAATAAAAAAAAAAAAAAAAAAAAAAAAAAAAAACCCTGTAAAAGATCTCCTGCATCTCTCTGTTTTCGTGTGTAAGGAAGACCTGTTCTGCTCACAGTACTTCTGTGTCCTGGTTAGTTGTCAACTTAACAAGAGGTACAGCCATCTACAAAGAGAGAATCTCAGTTGAGAAAATGCCTCTACCATGTTGGTCCATGGGGCTTTTATTTATTTTTATTAATATGACTGATGTGGGCGGGCCTGGGTTGTATAAGAAAGCAGGCTGAGCATGCTAGCGGGAGCAAGCTGGTAAGAAGAGTACACAGTTGGCTTCTAGACCACTTCCTGCCTTGACTCCCTTCAGTGATGTACTTTGGTGTGTAAGTGAAACAAACCCTTTGCTCCCCAATTTGCTTTTGGTCCACAGTAATAGGAAAATAACCAGGACAGGATGGCTTACTGCATTTACGGTCAAATGGACACGCAGGTTCTGTAAATAGTTGATTCTGGTTAAATGGCTGAATTTAAACATCTAACTTGCAGCGGGTACTATTGCCTGTGTCATGAATTCATTAACTGGAACGGCAGAGCATTTAGTGCCGTGAGGCCTGGGTTCTGATGAGTCATAATCGTGTACATGGTAACCCTTTCCCACCACATCGGCATAGCCGTCTTATTTTGATTATAGATACAGTTGCTGACAGTTTTTTCTGCATTTTTATCTAGGGACTACTAAGTTGTTTCTTTCCTTGGCTAGGTATAACGTTTGGGCTTACATCTGCCTGGTGTGTGGTGTGCAAAGTGCAATTCTTTTTTTTGGAGACCGTGTGTGTGTTTGAAGAAGAAAAAGGAAGTATGACAAACTATTAAAAATTAAATGATTTATTAATTAAAGGAATATTGACTTAAGGAACCTTTTCTTTCTCCGAAGTTCTCTAAGGAAGCCATTGTTCTCTGTTGCTTACCATTTTGAGTTTCAACTCAGTGTTTAACTTTCAGCCTCACGTCATAGTACATTGTGCTGCGGAGAGAAGACCAGATGTTGTTGAGAGTCAGCCAGATGCTGCTTCCCAGCTGAATGTGGGTGCTTCTGGGAATTTAGCAAAGGAGGCAGGTAATGCTACATCATCACTGGATTTTTTTTTTTTAAGACATGCCTATTTTAGGTTTAGGAATATTTTACCTGCGTGTGTGTCTATGCACAGTATGTGTGCCTTGTTTCCTTGGAGATCAGAAGAGGACTTCAGACCCCTGGAACTGGAGTTACAGGTGGTTGTGAGCATCCGCGTGGGTGCTAGGAACCAAAGCCAGGTCCTCTCGAAGAACACCAGTGTTGCTAGCTGTGAGCCTTCTCCAGCCTCCTTCACTGTGATTTTGGCTTTTGTTTGTTTTGTTTTTCCAGACAGAATTTTTGAGTTACCCTGAGTGTTCTGCAGCTCACTTTGTAGACCAGGCTGGACTCAGGTTCAGGGAGTTCCACCTGCCTCTGCGTCTAGAATTTGGGGATTACAGGCATGTGCCACCACTGTCCAGCTTCACTGGGTTGTTTAAGTTGAAAGTTTTGTTGCTCTCTTACATGTGTTTTTGTTGAAGAAAAAAAAAACAAAAACAGAAAACATTCCAAGCAAAAGTAATGAAGTGGGCGAATCTTTTCTTTTTGTAGCTGCTGTTGGAGCATTTCTCATCTACATTAGCTCAGATTAAGTGTTTGACGGCACAAATCCCCCTTACACAGAAGAAGATATACCAAATCCCCTGAATCTCTATGGCAAAACAAAATTAGATGGAGAAAAGGCAGTCCTGGAAAACAATTTAGGTAAGATCCAGCATATTTGGCACCTGATGAAGACTGTGTTGTGTTGTTTATGAAAAGATATGTCCTAACTTATAAAAATATCCAGAATTGCTGTATGTATGTATTACATGCCTGAACTCCCAGCACTCAGAAGCTAGGTCAGTGAAGCTCTGTCTTCCCCTCTTGTAATTGAAAAGGGAGAGAAAGAAAAGGGAACTAACCGTGGGTTACTAGAAATGAGACTGTGGACTAGTGAGATGGCTCGGTAAGTAAAAGTGCTTGCCACCAATTGATGAGTTTGATTCCCGAGACCTGTGTGGACAGAGAGAACCAGCTCCTGTAAGCTGTCACTGACCCGCACACACACATACACATAAATAAATGTAATAAAATTTTGAGGCATCCTATACCATTATATTTTCTTTTTAACATGTGCCTTTATGTGTACATGTGTAACTTCTTTGAAAAGAAACTAAAAGAAAATTTAAAGCTGGGAGAATGAAATCTCTCCTGTGTGCTGTTCCTTCAGGAGCACAAACATGAAATATGGTTTCTTAAGAGAGGTATTTCAGAAAAAAATTTTTTTCAAGTGTTTGCGTTTTGATTCATAATCTGACTTCCTTCCCGCATCTCTGCATCTCATTATATATGCTGCCAGTTCTGACGTGACTTCTTCCTGTCTGTGGGCACACCGTGCTCACTTATTTTCTATCTGTTGCAGCACCATGCTCAACATGATGATCCCTGTGGAAACCAATGCTTTGGGTCATAGTGTACCCCGAGAAGCAGCCACCAGCTTGTGGTGCCCTCATTTATGGACATTTAATTTGTCAAGTTTGTGTTTTGTTTTGTTTATTAACTATTCTAAGTTATTCTGTACCAGTGGTAGAGTACTTGCTGGGCATGTGCGATGCCCAAGGTTAGATCTCCAGTGCCTCCAGGCAAAGTAGATACACAAATGAGCATCAGTCCTAAGAAGTGGCGCTAACATCAGTCTCTACCTTGCTTCATGTTGTTTCATGTCTGCTCCATGTTGCTGTTACAGTGCACAGAATGGATCATTTATAAAGAACTGGAATTTATTTCTCACAGTTCTGGAGGCTGGGAAGTCTTAACCTCCAAGAGCCAGTGTGTGGGAAAGGCCTCCTTTCTGCTTGTCCTCGACCATTCTGCTTGTGCTCCCCATTAAGCTCTTTTATAGTGGTATCTTCATGACCTAAACATCTTCCCAAAGCACCTCCCCCAACCGAGCATGCACATACTCAAGTATCCATCCATCCATCCACCCATCCACCCATCCATCCATCTATCCATCCCTCCATCCCTCCATCCCTATCTATCTACCTACCTACCTACCTACCTGTATACATACATAGTCAAGTATGTATATATCTATCTTAGTCAAGTATGTATATATCTATCTACCAACCTATCTACCTACCTACTTACCTTTTTATCTTTCTCTTGGACTGGGAATTAAATTTCAATATATAATTTTGGAGTGGATACAACATTCCAACCACAGCAAGACTTGTCTTTATAAAAGAAAGTACATGTCTGCTTTGTTAAAAGTGCTAATAATCTGACAGCTATCAAACCCTTCACCAGATATCAGTATAAAATCTAATATGAACATTTCTTCAATCATGATTATAAGCGTGTGACCACTCAGCCCTACCCTCAAATTGTTCAGTTTTTGATTGGTACTTCTGTGTGTGTATACTTGGTCAAATTCAGCAATGATCAGTGCAGTATCCAAACACTTGGTTGTGCGTCTTGTAGGGACCGGAGTGTTGTTTACACAATCAAGTGATATTTACCAGTCAGGAGGAAACCTTTCCTTGATGTATTCCAGCTATCAAATACGTAGCCTGTGTAGATGGTTTCCCAGTTGGCCCAAAATTGTTCTGCATTGCTGTTGTCTTTCACTTGACCTTCAGTCAGTCATTTTGTTGTCTATATAGGCTCTATTTTTTAATGGGTATAATGACCAATTTTATAGAAATTCTATATGTGACAACAGATACTTAAAATATTCATGATCACCATTCAGTTTGTTCATTTATGAGCTGCATCCTATCCTGGTATTTTTATATTAAAAGGCAAGGTTTCTCCTTTGCTATTATTTAAATTCACACAATTTTTCTTTACATTAAAACATGGGAAAGAGCCAGCCATAAAATATCTACCTGTGTTGTCCCTAGGTGCTGCTGTTTTGAGAATTCCTGTTCTGTATGGGGAAGTTGAAAAGCTTGAAGAAAGTGCTGTGACTGTTATGTTCGACAAGGTGCAGTTCAGCAACAAGTCAGCCAACATGGACCACTGGCAGCAGAGGTTCCCCACACACGTGAAGGACGTAGCCAGTGTGTGCCGGCAGCTGGCAGAGAAGAGGATGCTGGTGAGTCTTGGGAAAGATGGGGCCTGCCTTCTGTCTTAGTGAAGGTTCTGCTTTGGTGTTTGGCCCTCCATGGGTGTACATAGACTCTCACAGACTGAAAAGTTACACATGGTTTTTAAAACTCGGAAACCAACAAAAGCAGTTTCTACAGAGTAGAGGTTGTGTTCATGAGGTCTGTAGTGTGCAAGAGATCTGTTCCTGCCTTCCTCGTTCTGGGAGTAAAGACACAGTGGCCTAACCACACCTAGTGCGAGGTATTTTTTTAATTTATTACATATGTGTGTGTTCATGAATTTATATACACCCATGCATGTAAGTGTCAAACAACCAGAGGTCATGGGATCCCCTGGGAACAAAACCCAATTCCTCTTAAGGAAAAAATAAGCACTCTTGACCACTGAGCCATCTTTCCACCCCAGAATGGAAATAAATTTTAAGCATTTGGAGAAGTTGGCATTAAATACAATACCCATACGAAGACTGGAGACTGTTTAGATTATGAATAATGCTGGCCACAGCATGACTCCATTTTTTTACTATATAAAAATTATACTGGTATAAGCAAGCAGAGTTTCCTTTCTTACCCACCAGTTCTCAAATAACGGACATGGAGATTTAACATTATTTTTAAATGCTTGGACACTAGCTTAGGCTTGTTTTTAGCTAGCTCTTAATAACTTAAATTAACCCATTTCTATTCATCTGTGTGCTGCCCCAGGCTTGATTACCTCATGTACAGACTTCCAGTCCTGCTCGCTCTACATCGCATGGCGTCTCCTTAGACTCTCTCCTGCTTCCTCTTAATGTTCTTCCTGCCCTGAAAATCCTATGGCCATCGACCAGCCAGCTCTTTATTAACCAACATGAGTAGTGCATATATACAGTCTACAAAAAGAGTGTTCCATAGCATACTAGTGTATACTGTGGGTAAACTAAAAGTTTCTTCATACAGGTGAAGACAGGTACCAACACCAGAGGTTGTCCTTGACCTTCACATACATGCTGTGACATGCACACCTGAGTTCACAAACAGTTAATTCTTTAGAAGAAGCTTTTGGAAATCTGTTAGGGGGAGGAAGCCTGAGCAAGACTGATAATAATAGCATGGCATTGTTAAGTGTATTTAACTAGTTCATCTCTTCGGTTTCTTGAGGTGACCAGTTTATTGTCCAGAGTGGCCTTGAATCCCTGTGTAACTTAGGCTGCCTTTGCAATTCAAGGCTGTCTTTCTACCTCATCTTTCCCAAATACTAGGATTACTAGCATGTGTCACTGTGCTTGTCAGGTTCATTTTAAAATGGTTTCATAACTGATCTTGGTGGTACACACTTGTAATAACAGCATTTGAGATAATACCAGTAAAACAGCAGGGTCAAGTGGATCCCTATGAATTCTAGGCCCACTGTGTCCATATAGTGAGCCAAGGCTAAGAAGCAAAGCCAAAATTTTTTGTTTTTTTTAAAACAAAAAGAGTGAGGCTAAGAATTGGTTCAGATCATAAAGTGCTTGTCCAGCATGCAAAAAGCCTTGTATTGAATCATAGGACCTCATAAACCTGACATGATGGTGCATGCCTGTAATCCCTGAGCTTGGGAGACTCAAACTGGAGGTGAGCCTCAGCTATATGCTGATTTTGAGGACAGCCTAGACTGTGTGAGATCATGTCTCAAAACTGTTTGGTTTTTATTTAACTTAATTATTAACTTAATAATTTAAAATGTTAATTAAAGTTAGTCAATGTCTCTAAATTGGAGGCACTTGTGTTTTTATTTCAAAAAGTTATTTCTAAAAAAAAAGTTATTTCTATAAATTGCTTTTAGTGTTGGATTATCTGTAGATATTTGATTTTAGGTATTTTGAAGAGAATATTCCAAAATGGTAGGTTTGCTTTTGATTCTTGGACCTTTAAAATTAAATTTCTTGTCAAACTTTACCATTAATTTTCTTTTTTCTTCTTTCTCTCTCACCCTCTATATCTTTCTCTCTTCCCTTGTGTTTGTTGTTAGGATCCATCTATTAAGGGAACCTTTCACTGGTCTGGCAACGAGCAGATGACCAAGTACGAAATGGCATGTGCGATTGCAGATGCCTTCAACCTCCCAAGCAGTCACTTAAGACCTGTAAGTCTGCTGATTGACACCTCCCTCCTGACCTCCTAAGGCCGCTATATGTTATTAATAGCATTTTTCTGTTTGGGATAATTAATCAAGGTGAACTTAATTTGGATTTTAGCAGTATTTAACTGTAAATTACCCCTAAAGAAGTCAGAGTATTGATGGAGGTAAGGGGGGGTGGGGTGGGGGGTACTTGCTGCAGAACCCAACAACCTAAGTCAAATCCACACGACCGAAGGAGAGAACTGACTCCCACTGTCTTCTGACCTCCAAATGAGCATATACTCCCAAGTGCACACGCACACACAGACATACGCACTTTTTTGTCATATTTTGTTTTTCAAGATAGAGTCTTACTATGTAGCTGTGGCTGTCCTGGAACTCCTCCGTTCTGGGATTAAAGGTGTGTGTCACCACCACCTGGCTGATTTTTTTTTTCCTAAGTATTGTCTTGATGGCAGCATGTTTATTTTTCTATATCTAATAAGATCAGGTCTTTTTTTAACTAGGGAAACTTATAACTCTATTTGAGTTATCAAATCTCAAGATGTTACTTCTTTACTCATGATTTTCTTTTTTTTTGTTTTTCTTTAAAGATTACTGACAGCCCCGTCATAGGAGCACAACGCCCCAAAAATGCTCAGCTTGACTGCTCCAAATTGGAGACTTTGGGTATTGGCCAGCGGACGCCATTTCGAATTGGAATCAAAGACTCGCTCTGGCCTTTCCTCATTGACAAGAGATGGAGACAGACTGTCTTTCATTAGTTTATGTGCTGTGTATTTTTTAAATGAAAAGTATAGTATGTGGCACTTTTCAAGAATAAAGGAAATAGTTTTGTATGAGTACTCCTTAATTGTGACTCATGATCCTTCAGGTAAATGATGCTGTTGCACTAGGAGAATGTCGGAGAGACTGAGGGCAGCCATGCCTTGTTTGCAGTCATGACTTTGAGTTGATCGTTTTGTTCTGGTTCACCTTGCTCTTCAAGAAATATAAATTATGATCTTCATGTCTGAGAGCTGGGATGAAACAGACTGTTAGACTCTGGATGAAATGCATTATCCATTCCTGTAACTCCGTTTTTCTTTTGTTTGTGGACCTTTGTATATTGATAGTTTCAGTGCGTGTAGGATCCTGTGAAAATCATCGCTGCTCATTGTTTGCTTTGCTTGAGCCCAGATCAAAATGCTTGAAGAAAAGGAAACTTTATTTTTGCAACTTTAAGTATGGTTTTTTACGCTTGGTTCTTAAAGTGTTGTGTATATCAGAACTGGATAGCCTGACACCTCACCTGCATAGCACCATGTGGCAGACACTTGAGAGAGAGTGTGTGTGTGTGTGTGTGTTTTAATATAAATACATATCTGTCTCTTTCACTTTGTCACCAAGTGATATTTCATACATGTACTTATAATAATGAGCCTTGTTTGTCTTTTGATCACTTATGAATAACAATAAATACTGCTGGCATGTAACACTTTGGTTTCTCTTTTATTTAAAAATATATAATGTTTTAATTCTGAGAATCTCAGTGTATTTTGATCATATTCACCCTTACACCCCCAGCTCCTCCTCTATCTGTCCCTGCTTTCTTAATATTTTGTTGTTGTTTCCTTTTGTTTTTAAGAACACTGACTCACGGGTAGAGCCACCCACTTGAGCTGGTTGACCCACCAGGGACCACACTCTTTGGCTGTCTTCCATTCCCAGAATTTGTTTCTCTTTAATTTATTTGTTTCTTCTTAAATTGTAAGTACTGCTAGGCATGATGATACACATCATTTATTCTCTAAGAACCAGGTAGATGTCTGCTTTTGAGGCCAGCCTGGTCTAAATAGCAAGTATCAGGCCAGGCAGGACTACTACATAGGGAAACAATATAAGGACTGACTTAAGTTTTCAAATTAGACGCTTAGAATCTCTGCTATGTAATGTCATACTTGATCTAGAAGTATTTTTGTACCAACTGATTAGAAACAACTCCATAGTCTTATGTTTTATTTAAAATTTACCTAGAATTTGGGAATTAGAATGGACCTTGTTTGGATCATTTGGTTATTATGGCAATCACCAGACTGCATTAGGTTTTGGAATTTACTGGGTTATTGCTTACACCATCTTAAACCATTGTCGATGAGCTGAAATAGAATATACAAAATTAAAGCCTGCTAGTTGGGCATGATGGTACATTTCTGTATTCCCAGCATGAGAAACTGAGGCAGGAGGATTACTGTGATTTCAAGGACAGCCTGTGTTACAAAGCAAGCAAAAACTAAAATGTAAAATTGAGAATTTAGAGGTTTTCTTCAAATTGCTGTATTTTCTGATTTTCTTTAAAAATGTATAAGAGCACTGCATGGTATGCCTGGTGCCAGATAAGGACATCAGATCCTCTGGAACTGAAGTTGAAGAAGACCTGTGAGGCACTATGTGGGTGCTGGGAATAGAACCTGCTCTGCAAGAGCAGCCATTGCTCTTAACCCTTGAACCAGCTCTCCAGGCCCATAATTGTTGCACTTCACACCATGCAAAATGTAAGTTTCTGTGGACCGCCATCTTCTCATTCTTTAGTCAAGAGCCAATAGCATAGGCCAGCATGACACACACAGGCCCGTCATCCCATATTGACCAGCCGCACAGTACACATTTTCTGCAGGTCTTCATTGAACTTAGATTTTTGGGCCACTTATGTTGAATGTTAAGTCTGTTTTTAAGTATTTGAGTTTGCATTGCTGGCCTCAAGCTTAAGATCCTTCTGTCTCAACCTTGCCAGCGCTCGGATTTATAGGTGCATCACAACAGCTGAGAAAGTATTCTCCCACCATTGCCCTACTTCCTAAGAAGTCCACCATGGAATTTGCTACCCTCTGGGCAGAATTTGACCATGTGTATATTTGGGATGTATTTGACACCCTAATCACAGCAGGAAAGGGTTCTGTTGGAGCTTCAATCCCTTTGAGAGTTAAGTGAAGGAAATAAAACCTGTTTCACAAGTCCTGGGGAAACATCAGGAACATACATTTAAAAATATCTTCGCTTGTCAAATGCATTTGGGGCCAGGTGCCATGTTTGTTACCATTGATATTACCTTCATTTTTAGTGAAAGAAAGTGTTATTATAATAAGACTGCTAGTGGGTTTTGTTGTCTTTCTGTCATCTTAAAAATATTCCTAAAAGGGGGAAGGCAGGAGAGATGGTTCTGCCATTAAGAGCACTTTCTGCTCTTACACGAGACCCAGATTTGGTTCCCAGCACTATCTGCAACTCCCCATCCACAGGCCTTGATGCCTTCTCTCGTGCACATACCCACACACATAGATACACATAAATCCTCCTTCCCCTGGATTTTATGCCATAAGCATACATATTCTGGAAATACACTTAAATAGATTTTAAGGAGAAATTATTCTGTCTGGTGTTTTGCCAAATGGCTTCTGAAAGCTTGTTTCTGAATTTTAACCACATAAATGTCAACACAATTGGATTTTATAGTTATCCTTGGAATTATTCTGTACAAGTTTGTGCTTTTTGTTGATGTTTGGTTTGGTTTGGTTTTTTTGAAACAGGGTTTCTCTGTGTACCTTTGGAGTCTGTCCTGGAACTTGCCCTGTAGACCAGGCTGGCCTCCAACTCACAGATTCACCTGCCTCTGCCTCCTGAGTGCTGGGATTAAAGCTGTGTTGCCACCACCGCCTGGCAAGTTTGTGTGTTTTTACAAAAAGATGGCCATGAAGTTGCTTATCCCTCCCAAGAGTTGTTTTCCTCTTTATTGCCCACTTGATTCTATTTTATAGTATACATATATACTACGTATCACTGAGCAATTTTAATTTTTCCCCAGTTTGTTAATAGATTTCATTTTTGTTTCCTTGTTTTTGTTTTTTTTTGATTTTTTTCGAGACAGGGTTTCTCTGTGTAACAGTCCTAGCTGTCCTGGAACTCACTCTGTAGACCACTCTGGCCTCGAACTCCAGAGATCCACCTACCTGTGCCTGCTGAGATGAAAGGCGTGTGCTACCACCACCTGGTTGTTAATAGATTTTTTTTTTAATAAAATATTTTTTGAAACAATCTTTTCTCATTTTACGTGCCTATCCCAGTTCCTACTCCCTCCCCTCCTGTGGACCCCCTCCCCCCACCTTCTCCCCACTCCAGACCCCCCTCCACTCCTCAAAGAGGGTAAGACTTCCCAAGAGGAGTCAATGAAGTCTGACACATCACTTTAAGGAAGGACCGTGGCCCTACCCTCTGTATCTAGGCTGAGCTAGGTATCCCTCCAAAAAGAATGAGCTTCAAAATGCCAGTTCAAGCACTAGGGATAAATACTGGTCTTACTGCCAGTGGCCCCACAGACTGTCCATGCCACACGACCATCATCCGCATTTGGTGGGCCTAGATTGGTCCTGTGTAGGTTCCCCTGCTATCAGTCCAAAGTCAGTGAGCTCTCACTGGCTCAGGTCATCTACCTCTATAGGTTTCCCCATCACGGTCTTGACCCCTTTGCTTATATTATTGCTCCTCCCTCTCTTGTACTAGTCTCCTGAAGCTGTGTCCAGGGCTTCGCTGTGGATCTCTGCATCTGCTTCCATCAGTTATTGGATGAAGGTTCTATGATGACAAAGTAGTCATCAATCAGATTACAGGGAAAGGCCAGTTCGGGCACCCTCTCCACTATTGCGTAGGGTCTTAATTGAAATCATTCTTGTGGATTCCTTAGAATTTTCCTAGTGCCAGGATTCTTGCTAGCCCCATAATGGCTCCCTCAATCAAGATGTCTCTTTTCTTGCTCTCCCTCTCTGTCCTCCCACCATACATACATAAAAGCACTCATACACATAACAATAAATCTAAACATAAACGTTAGAGGAGACAGAACAGCTGAAATTTTCCATCACAAAGGTCCCTTCACCCAAATAACGTTTCCCATACATTGAACTCATGACCTGTTTTTTTTTTTTTTTTTTTGTTTAGAGAGGGTTTCTCTGTGGCTTTGGAGCCTGTCCTGCAACTAGCTCTGTAGACCAGGCTGGGTCTCGAACTCAGAGATCCACCTGCCTCTGCCTCCCAAGTGCTGGGATTAAAGGCGTGCGCCACCACCGCCCGGCCTCATGACCTGTTTTATCTTTGAAAACTTGTGTACATTTCCCAGCTTTTACCACTGGGGGAAATGACTTATATACTGACCGTAGACTCCCATAATGTGCCCTCTGAAGTGGTTTGACTAAGAATGCTCCCCTCCCCCCCCACAGGCTCATCTAATTGAATGCCTAGTCATCAAGAGTCACACTATTTTGAAAAAGATTAGGAAGGGGGTGCTGAAGAGATGGCTCAGTGGTTAAGAGCATTGTCTGCTCTTCCACAGGTCCTGAGTTCAATTCCCAGCAACCACATGGTGGCTCACAGCCATCAGTGATGAGGTCTGGTGCCCTCTTCTGGCCTGCAGGCATACATACAGATAGGCTATTGTATACATAACAAATAAATAAATATTAAAAAAAAAGAAAAAGAAAAAGAGTAGGAAGTATGGCCTTCTTGGAGAAAGTATTGGCCTTGTGCCCCACTGGGGGTGTTCTCAGTTTTCAAAATCTCATTCTTTCCCTTCCCCCTCTCTTGTTTCCCACCCTCCACCACACCACCTACAGATCAGGTTATAGCTCTCAAGTGCTTCTCCAGTGCCTGCCTGCATGCTGCCATGCTCCCTGCCTTGATGATAATGGACTAAGCCTCTGAAACTGTAAGCAAACCACCAATTAAATGCTTTCCTTTATAACAGCTGCCTCGGTCACAAATGTCTCATCATAGAGAATAGTGACTAAAACTGGCTTGGTGTCTAATGTCTGTAATCTCAGCACATAGAAAGTAAAGTCAGGAAGATCAGGAGGAGCTCCAGGTCAGGCTGAGCTATATGAGACGAGTGTGAAAGACCCCCAGTGCTGGGGAGACTCTCACTCTAGTCTCAGGATAACACGATCCCCCCCCCCCAGTAACTCACGAGAGACCGTCCTTGCTGCAGTCACACGAGGCTTTAATGATGAGATGAGACGGGAACCAGTGCCCTGGGGCCGAGACTCATAACCCACGCAGGGGGAGCGTTCGACCCCGCGTGACCGGGAGAAGCGATTTTTAAGGGAAGAAACCACTGCCCAGGGATCCGGAATTGGCAGGAAGTGTGTCACAGAAAATTCTGAAAATACCAGTGAAGATCACAAGGGGGCAACCCCCTGCCTCTCAGGACCACTCCCAAAGTCATAATCAGCTAGTTCCTAAAACACAGTACAATGACAATCACAAGGGGGAAACTACCTGTTTCTCAAGATTACAACCTAACTTTATCTTCAGCTATTTCCTGAAACAGTCACTAAACTGGCTAATCCTAGATTTTTGATTCTTCTCTTCCTGCTTGGATTTTTGGCTATTTTCTTCCTGCTGGGGCGAGGGGGGACCTGGATTTATCCAGGGCTTTCTTTGGGGATAC